TCCATTTTCTACCTTTCTATTTCAAAAGAAAAATTCACTGGCCAATTCATATAAACTCTTGGCTTCTTTTCACCATGCTAATTTTAATGGACTGGCTAAATAAGAGTTATCATGTCTAGAAATAATTTTTATCCATTTTTTCTTTTGCTATAACTGTATTTTTTGTTCTTTCTGCAACATGATCCACAAGTACACACACTATTCTTTTCTTCTGTTGTGGTGCTCTAAGAAGAATGTACTCATCACTTTCTACTGTTCTTCATGTTTTCAATGCAGCATTCAATGCATTCAATTCAATGCATTCAATGCAGGTGTGACCAGCTCCAGTTGCAATTCCCTCTCAGCTCCTAGTGGAGTTAAATTCTTCTCCTTCAGCCTTTCTCCTTTTGTCTCCTGTAGTTATTTTTCTGTGTTATGCAACTTGTCAGGCTTGAATTCCAATCCATGTGGCAGATACAATTCTCCAGACGATGACATATGTTGTCCTAATGACATAATCATTGCATATCTCAGGTCTGATCTCTAAAGAGGAGGAAATGTTGATCAAGGAGCTCCTGCTCGGCAGTTTGTGCCTGGTTGCTCTCAGAATGTTCCTTTCATTCAGGAACTCGTGATGATTACATATGTTATTGCTGTACTTATGAAAAAGCCCTCTTCAGCTCTCTCTGTGAGAAACAGGAACTTGTTTCTTGCTTGGATATACCTCTCTTCTAGACAGACAGAGATTTCCCCATCACAGGTAACCCTAAATACATCAGTTCCTTTACCACTTGAGAGCATCAAGACAGCTACATGAAACCAGCACTAGCATTTCTAGTTATTCTAACTCAACTCTTTGTTCATGCCCAGCAATATCTTTAGTAGAAGCTCTTTACATGCTAGTTTACCTCTCTGTTATTATATTTTATTTTCAGAAGGTTTAGTATCTGTGTTTATTTTGTGGTACAATTGAAGATTTCAGGTTTTCATATTGACTAACCAGCGTGCATTTTAGAGTTGCAGTTAATCGGGCCCTTGTATTTTTTACTGGGAAAAAATCCTAACGTTTGTAGATGGGCTGCCTCCAAATATTGGTGAAGAATTTGTTGTCTCATTACCAAAATGATTTTTTGTATCCATGAGGAAGCTTTAAGTAGTACTTGAGGCAGCTGACAGTCCTGAGTTCCCAGGTTCCACTTACCCGGTGGAAGATCAGTTCACAAAAGAGATTTTTTATTTTTAGGGAGACTTTTATTCAGTCCAGCATGGACTGAGATCATTATCATTAGGTTCTTCAACTAAGTCATGGCTTTTTGAGGAAATACATTATAAGAAAAAGCAACACTTCCTGTGTTTTGTTCTTCCCATCTGGTCTATGAAAGTGCACAGGTAAGACACGCTATTGTATTATTTACAAGGTTATATGACAAGAATATTTCCCTACCTAGATGTTACAGTGCTAGAATATTTTTAACAGTTAGAAGAAGCATTTCATTGCCTTCTCAAACTGTTAACTAATATTTCCTAAGAGCTGACTGGAGGAATTCACTTTAATTCCAAGAGTGAAAATAGGCCATAAAGGTCTTTGTGAGTAGAGTTCAAGACACAGTTATGAAGTTTGCCTGGATACCTCAGATTTAATTGAACCTAAATGCCTTGGTGAAAGCGTGTATCCTATTTCATGCACTTTCATAAAAGTACATGGCAGATTACACATCACATGAATGCAGGATAAATTAAAGTGATACATCGTTTTAACATGCATCACTTGGACATCCCACCACTTCCTTCCTGAAGGGAAAGGACAAACCCATAAATGTGTGTCAGTCTCACCTCCTTTTCCTTTCAGGCTTTCAGACAGGCACGTGTGGAATGAGTTTTGCATACGAATCAGCAACTGGATCATAGTTTAGGTAGCAAAACTTTTTGTTGTGCCTGAACTCTTGGCACTCCCACAGTGTCGAATGGGTTTTCATTTTCTGTGTGCTGCCACCAGTGAGCATAAAGGCAGAGGTATCTCCTCTATCCCAGTTTAATTCCATCTCTGCTGTGCATTTGGGATGCAGGAAGAAAGGGAGGGAGGGCCATGGAGATGTTTGGGTAGGTAATACCTCTTAAAGAACTCAGTTACCGTACAGGTAAGTAGTATTTTTTTTTCTTTCTGGGTAATCATCTGTATAAGCTTCATTAAATGAGTTCATAGCTTTTTATCATTCTGCAGTTCTCTCAAAATACAAGAAGATAATTTAACCCTCAGTGCAATGATCAGATGTGTGTTTGCTTCAGAGGATCAGTCACTGCAGGAGAAACATTTTAACTGTAGATATAATTAACAGAAGGTTTTTTTCAAAGTTTAACACATCACAATAAAGACAGAGCACTTCATGTAACTAGAAAGAGGAAAGCAGCAGCAGCAGCACAGGTTGATGGTCAGCATGAGTCTGACATGTTTCAGACCCAAACAATTGGAAAAATGTGCTGGTATTTTAAAAGGCAAATGTGGGTTCACTTTTATTTACTTTTTATCTATTAGTATGAAGCAGCAGCTTGTATTTAAAAAAAAAAAAAAGGTAATTCAAATGATAGTCAATTAGTCATGAATCAGAGAGCTAGAAACAAAATAATTCTTTAAAAATCTATTGAGACTGTTCTGCACTAGTGGAGGTGTTATCTGGCTAAGCAACAATCTGCTGCTCCTGCCAGGCATTTGTGTGGGTTTGCAAGGTGGTTACACAGATTGTCACAATGTTAGAAGAGTGAAATTGCACATCTTTTAACTAGGCTTGCCTGAGAAAGAAAAGGAAATGTTCTAACTGGTCTTTCCATGCTGGATGGGTTATTAGTGTTAGACTCAAGTTAAAAGATTACGATTTCTAGACAGTTCATTCTAAGTCAACACTGCACTTTTTAATTTGCAACCCTCTTTCTTATACGTAAAAGTTGGTGTATTATTTTAGGAAAAACAATTATATATGAATATAGGTTTTTCAAATGCAGGTAACGTGGCACTGGATTTTTGGTGTTACCAATTGCTCTTCCTCCTGTCCTTCAAGAGTTCACCTGTCTGAATAGAGCACTATATGGTGTCACAGTTAACACAGTATTGAATTCAGCGCTGAATTGTTTGCCTGGAATGAAGGGTGGACATACCTATGTGTTAGAATGTTTTATTCTGCATTCTTATTTTAAAGGAGTTTCTATTCCCACTTCTGTTATTTGACACGGAGAGCTACACATTCACATGGCTATCCATGAATAATATATCGAGGAGTAAAGTTCATTCTTACTGTGTAATGCAGATAGGCAAGTAAATATCTGTCATGTCTGGCACAGTTAGTATTCTGTGCTGAGTTTTTTGTTAGCTTGTTATTCATCTTTTCGATGAGACTTCATTTAGGCTAATCATAACCACAGAGTAGTTTTGAAGATGTTATCAGTGTTTCTGAAAGATTCAGAAATTACGAAAACGTGTTGTGCAACACCTGTTTTTGAAACGTAGATCTCTCCGTTTGTTTCTTTATGAAATCAGCAATTACTTGCCCGGTGAATCCACTCTGGAAAATAACCATCAGCAGAATGCTCCTCTGCCTGCAAAGCCTAACAACTGCTGTTGCCTGTGCTAGTGGTTGAACACTAGCCTTGCTCTTCACAAGGGCGGTGGGGCCAGATGTCCTGCACTGCTCTGATACAAAGCTTTGCATCTCTGCTTGAACACTCTCATTGAAAGTGACGTCTCAGAAATGGCATTCATGCAACAACTATCCTTGGGGATGTATCCCAGGTTGTAGAAGGCAGGAATCAAGGAATGTTCCTTCTTTAAACTCACATGACTAATCTTCCATTATGAAGGTTGCAAGGCCAATTTTTCCCATGTCAGTCTTCTTTTCCCTTATTCTTTATATGATACGAAACACTTTCAGAGAAACGGTGGAAAATTTCAGTCCTAAATACAAAGACCAAAGGCCAAAGGGGTAAATGTGACAAAAAGCAAAATGCAAACAAAGGATAGCATTTGTGATTCTTCCACTGTTGCTGAGATGGCTAAAAAGCCATGTATTAACTTCAGTATGCTTTAATAACTCATCTGAATCCCTATGATCTAAACCAATCTGCAAGACAAGAAATGCAGAAATCTTCCATAAAGCTGTTCACTTCTGGTGGATTTGTTAAGCAGCCGTGGTCCAAGACATTAATTTTTACTGTAAGAACAGCCTGCTTTCCAATCTTCTGTCCAACCTGCTTCTACAGAAGCAAGAGATGCACATTTATTTTCCTAGCAAGACTAAAGTAAGGAGAGTCTCCTTTACAAATAACAATACTATTATTTTGTATATAGTTTTTTATGTTATACTGTTTTCTTCAGTGTTCTTTGAACATGTGTGGACATCTGAATTTGCAACTGTAAAGATGCTCTTAATCAAAGAATAACTTTTTAGGGAGTCTTGATACTTGAATGTCTGAGATTCAGACATCCCAGATGAATCCTTCATGTTTCCTAGAGATGTAACACTTCCTCAAAGACTTAATCTGATCAATGGAAAACTCTGTTGGGTTAATGTTTGCTTTTCTCTCCCTTTACCTGGAAATGATGAATTCCAAGCTGCAGTGCTGTGTTTCCTTTCTTACCACGCCTGCTGACGATGAATGTGAGAGCAAATGGGCAATGCTGAATGCCTGCTACCTTCCTGCCAGTTCTGGTTTCTGTGCTTCTTCAGAACTGCTTACTAATCCTTATTTACCAACAATCCTTGCTTATCTATGCTGTGTAATCTCACAGGACTGTGCTTTTGTCCAGCAGTCTTGCTCTGAGGTCCTGCTTCGCTACCTGTCTCCTTCTCTTTGCTGCAATCTTCCTCTTACTCTTGCATCCCTTCATCTTTCTGTCCTTTGTGTGAAGATGATTTGCCTGCAGTTGCACCTCGGGAGGGAGAAACGCATTTTGGTTGGCGTAAAACTTGGTTGATTAAAAAGGCTGTAGTTCCAAACAAGTCGTCTTCACCTCGTCTCCCGTCATTTTCCAGGACAATCTGCGTAAAAAGGATGATCGGATTGAAGAATTGGAAGAGGCACTCAGAGAAAGTGTTCAGATAACTGCAGAGCGGGAAATGGTGCTAGCACAAGAGGAGTCAGCCAGGATCAATGCTGAGAAACAGGTCTGCAATCTTGTAAAGTCACTGCTAGTTCTCTTAGGAAGGTAACCAGACAGTGAAGTACTATTTTCCCTGCTTTACTGCCAAACACAGCTGGTTTTCTTTGATGATCCTGTATCTCTGTTCCAACGCTAAGTAACAGAACTCATAAAGTCTGCAAAACCTTCGTGATAAATTGTATTTCATAGGTAAGATTTTCTCGAAATTAAAATTAAATATAGGGTATGCTGAGCTTTAAAATATTGTTTTAAGTAGTTACTCTTCTGATCTGTCTTGCCTGTCAGAGCTTTCTTCCTATGTGTAAGCATACATGGGTTCACTGTATTGTTCATTGAATTACTTAAAGATAATGATTTTTATTACTGTGGTTGTGTTTATGGACCAGAGTCTGGTTCCACTTGCAAAAAACAGGATAAAGAGACAATTCCCTTGGCTTGAACCAAGCATACACACAGAAAATACACACTCACGTGTTGAAACCACAAATATAAACTTTCATACATCAATTGATTCTGTGCCACGGATCCTGAAGAATCACGTAGATGCCTGATTTTAACTCACGTAAGTAATCCTTGAGAATAGCATAAGTAGTGAATAAATCCATGACATTTTGATAAAGCTTTTTGAAGCTTTCAGACAGAAGCTGAACCTGTCACTCTATACTGTGCTTTTTATGAGCCTCTTCAGTGTTTTTCATTGTTCCTTACTTGACAGCAATTAGCAAACAGGAGCATTTTGTCATTTGTATTTCGATGGAGGGATCTCCTCCTCTTTGTTATTTACTTAACAACAGTTCTGTCTAAGTGCACTTTAAAACATTTTAAGAGGTTTTTTTCTAACATGTATTTTTATATCAGAGACTTCAATGAAAAAGAAGATATAAATATCTTAGTAATAATCTAAGTTTTCAGGAAAAAAACAGCTGTTTCTCTTCAGGCTAGAGTCAAGCTCAGCTGTTTGCTGGTAGACATATTGAGGATAATTCTGGTTGCTGTATCTTAAGATCCCAGACAGTGTTATGAAATTCGCTTTCAAGAATGCCTTTCTTCCAGATTTCTTGTAGCCTTTAAAAAATGGCATGAAATAGAAATGTCAACTGGGTGGTGAATACCACATCAAAGATTAGAGCTCCTTGAAAGGATAACGAGTATCTGACAATGGATTAGGTTCTATGATAAGGCACAAAAGCAATCAAAGTAGTTTGTGATTTGATGCCTAGGATGTCAGTGTTTTAATTTATCACTCACAAGACAAAGTGGTCATTTTTATATCCTTTAGCACCTAGAAGCTGGTGAATAGAGAGTTGGAATTGGGTGTGCAGTCTGAAGGATGAGACAAGGCAGGCAAATGCACAGCCCGAAGGTCAGTGAGCCATAAGGGTCAGTGGGAGAGATTGAGAGGAGAGGAAGAGAGCCAAGACAAATAAAATTTGTGGGTAAAGATTGGTGGAATATGGTAGGCAACAGTACCATGAAGAGGAAATTAATTTGGATGTAGTGGTGCACACAGAAATGTGGAGGGGAAAGAAAGATGGATTGAAAGCAGCAGTGTGGGAAAAGGGAAAAGTCAACATCTGTGCAGTCACTGATTGACAGCAGTGTCTTGCACCAACAGAAGAACTAAACTGCCAGCTCTGACAAGTTATAGTTTTTAAAATATGAAAGCAGTCAGCACAAAGGGAAAGGAACTGGTGTGTGTTGTTCCAGTCAGCACTGGGAGACCTGACCTGATGTGCCCCATTTTGTCCAGTAGGATTTTTTTTTGGCATCAGTTAAACGCAGTCAGATAATAGAGTGTTGGCAAGTAGCTGTTTTTTCAAGGTGAGGAGGAGACATCCCTTCAAATGTTTTTCAGTTCATGTTCCTTCAGTTACTGTTGAAGTATGCCCTCTCTGTTTTATTATGTTCTGTAGAAGTTCTTTGTAGAATCATGAAAGACACCCTTGGATGAGTTTTAAAATGCAATAATCTGTGTTCTATACACTATCAATGGTAAATCCTTTGACTTTCACAAATGTTCTCAGACCAAGTGTGACTAATACTGTGTGATTTTTAAAATGTTAATGTTGTTCAAACTGATCATAATTTGCTTTTAATTGCATGCTTTTTCTTTCCTCTCTTTCGTTTATCTTGTTTTCTACCATTCTGCCACTTCACTGCCTGTCTGAAGCTGTTTAATGAATCAGTGCATGAGATCAACCATTTTGGCTTTAGGTGGTTCAAGGTATGAGGACATCTCATTTGTGTGTTCCTCTGCCCCAGTATTTCATGTTGTTACTGTAGCCGTGTGTTGTGTGATCCTGCCCTCTGTTATCTCCTGGCGTTCGAGTGTCGTGCTGTTTTATAGGCCTCAGATTTGAATTACAGCGTCCACGAAGCCACCCTGGATTTCATGGTTCTCAGATATCTGTTATAGATTAAAATCTTGCTCTCTTTAATCCGGTGTTTAAAAATATCCTGTCAGTGTGTATTAACTGTGACAGTGCGTTCACTGTGTTAATACACAGTCTATGTATGCAAGATGCCTCCAGCTGACTGAAGCTTTCTGTTTATTTCAGGATTTTAGACCTGTTCTTTCTTTCATCTTTCACAAAAATAAAATTTCCTGCTGGGAGCAGTGCACCCATTGAATTGGGCATAGTTTTGTTTTCCTTACTGATCTATGTAATAAACATCTCTGCCATGCAGAAAGCAGATGAGGCAGTCTTGCATCGATGTAAAGACTTGAAAGTTCTTCAAGTTCTTTCTTTCTGATAATACTCACCTTCGGTTTTGTTGGTGCACCTGCTGAATCTTGTATGTAAATGTTATTGTGACCTCCTTAAAACTGTGGGGTTATGTTCCACTGTGGCTGATCCCTCTAGGTGGAAGATCAGAAGGTCTATGGAGACTTCTTTTAAGTACTCCCCATAAGGCTGAAGTTAGGATTACTTGGATAAACACTTCCGTCATAAGTTTCTTTTTGTTAGAAATGGCAAAACCAAATGTAGATTCAGGAATTATTTCTGCATTAACCAAATCTGAGTTTGTTTTAGAAAAGCTATCGTTATGTTCCTCAAGGGGGAAGAAAGAATTAAATATAAGGGTTTTTTTCATGCTCAAAAATACAGTGTTCGTTTTACTTCCCTTGGAAAAACTGGTGTAGGTCGTTTGTGACAAGAAGCCCTCTCTTGCTCACAGTCATTCGTTTGCTGTCCTGGTGCATCTTATCATCCCTTCTCCTGCAGCAGAAAGCAGGATGGTGTTCTTTGTATGGATTTATTCATAATGAGCACCATTCCCTAGGACAATGCTGGAAAAGTGTTTCAGTCCTCATGGAAGAATGAGGCCCTTTATATGAAATAAAGGGAAACAGAAGTTCAGGTTCTGTGATTCACTGTCAATCAATAATGAGCAACAGGTTCTTGTCCAGAGCACGACTAATTGCATTTTGAGCCTTCCTCTTTGGAGGGCATAGTTAACTAATGTGTTCTCACTTCAGATACTTAAACCCCCCCCCTCTCTTTGCTCACTTTCATCTCCATACTTCAGTGCACATCCCTTCAGTTTTCCCAGCCTAGGTCTTTCTGGGGCTCTGTTGCTGAAATGGAGCAGTGACCTAATTCATGAAACAGCTTTCTTATTTTTTAAAGGAATTTTTGCACGTGGATCAATTCATTGACCTGGTTCATGGATCCCCATGCAGAACTTGAGGGACATCTGAGGAAGCACTGAAATGTGGGGGCAGGACTGAGAAGTAGAGGCAGGAATTCCTTAGTGTTGTCACTAAAAATATTTTTATATTTTATTTTTAAATTGTTATTGCATCCTTTACAATAGGCTACTGTTTCTGTGAGTGAGGTGGTGTTTTGCCTAACCACAACATACATTTCTCTATCTAATTTTATTTCCTTCAAATTTGAAAAGCAGAAGGTTTTAGAAATTCAAATAGTATTTCTGCTGATAGTAGTGCACCTCTGTTCTCTCATGAATATCAACTCCTGCTTAAATGCACTCTTTCTACAGTATCAGCTAACATCTAACTCCCTACCCTAAAATGATATGGTAAATAAACACAAAAAATGACCATTACCTGTCCATTCCTTCCTTCTTAAGTAGCTGCTTAAACTGCAATTTTTGAGTTGGCATTCTGATCTTGACACCTTCCATCAGCCTTTTTTGAAGTTATGGTTCTCAGTGGGACATTTAAATGAGGGTAAGTGTATGTAGACCTGTAAATAGCTGTATCAGTGTTCATACACTGTGTCTTTTTATCCTGCACAGGGCAGGTCTTTCTGCTTTGCTTTTTGAGGAAAAAAATAAAAGATTGAATATTATGTATTGTTTAAATGCATTTTCTTATACTAATTCCTTTCTCCCACTCTCTGTATAAATTATTTCAGCACATATTACGTGTAAAATATGGCAATAACAAGACTCCTGAATTTCTCTATCACATATGCTAACTTCAAAATTTGTATCGATTTATTAAGGAAAAATAAGTAATAAATAGGTTAGTAACTCAGTTAGAACCTTCACAGTTCGCTCCTTTTTCATCAGCTCCTGTTTCCCTGCTGTAAATACAAGGCCAGCAGAGGGTTGAATGCAGAATTCAGCCTCCAAGAGTCTCACCTGTTAGTTACTGTACAGGAATTCCCACCAAGTATTGAATGATACTTGTCATCTTCACTTCCATCAGACCACCATTCTGGTTCTGCTTTAACATTTTAGCTGTGTTATTTAGATTACATTTCCTTGTGAGAATAGAAATTATATTTACAACAGATTTATCATATTGAACCCTGTCCTATCAAGTACCTCCTAAACATGCAAAAGAAATTGTAAAATATACCTTTTTTTTTTTTGCTGAGCATTCTGTTACTGAAATAGATCTGAAATATTTTCTTACATTTGTTGAGCAATGGAATTATTTCACAGCACAAATTCTGACACATAAAGTTACTTGGTACAGGTCCCTGTAAATAGAAAAGGTAAAATGGAATTTCTCATGAACCACTTACCTAT